AATATTGTCTCTGTCACAAGGCCTAGTGAAAGCAGCTTGTTGTGATTCTAAACTCCACTGAAGATCATTGATTTTATCCAGATGCATTTGGCCTCCCAATTCATTAAGGTTAGCATGTTTTGAGCTGTAATGATGCTCCAGATTGGCGTTTTTCATTACTGCTAACACATTACCACAAACTAGGCTCACAGATTTGTCTTTGACTTCAACATAAAAATAACCATTTGTCCATTTCCTTGGAAAAATTGACTCTCTGTATCAACTTTTCTTTGTAGTCACCATTTGTAGGATGTCACACCACTTAAATTTTAATAACTATCCAATGTGTGTGTCCCCAGCAACTCGATTATTTTGCTTTGATTGCTGTTCTAATCCTTCATCTTGGATTTGGAACACATCCAATGTTTGTGTCATTGACTCTTGAAGTATTTTCTGTATACTGTAATTTCCTTAATCATCTGGTCTGTGTTGACAAACAAGTTAACAACATTGACATTAATCATCGGAGGCAAGGTCATCAACATTGTGAAGAATCATCTCCTCATCTCATCTCATCTCATCATCTCATCATCTCATCTCATCTCATCTCATCTCATCTCATCTCATCTCATCTCATCTCATCTCATCTCATCTCATCTCATCTCATCTCATCTCACCTCATCTCATCTCATCTCATCTCATCTCATCTCATCTCATCTCATCTTCTCATCTCACATCTCATCTCATCATCACTGGATCCCCATAGTTTTGCCATATTGTGTTAACACTTTTGCAACATGTATATCCCCAGCCTGCCTGGCACTGACTGTCCTCTGAGTCACCACAACACAGGCAGATGGGCAGCAGGCAGCCCGACAAGAAGCATATGTGTCCCGTCATGTACTCATATGTGTCCTGTCCATCCCGTAATGGATGTTCCTTACTTGTCCCTCAAAATTTATGTTATTATTATGATTCACTTAATATAAATTTATGTTGCTATGAAAAAAGCTCCTAGGTTTATTGAATTTTGAGTCCCGCCTGTGGTTGCCTTGGCAGGGCCAGGCCAAACAATTTTGAGGGCCATATTTGGTACTCGGACTGGACTTTCCCCACCCCTGTTCTAGACTGTGAGCTCCATGAGGACAATGGACACGTCGTCATCTTCATTGCTGCATCCCCAGCACCCATGATAGGGCCTTCCACCTCCATATATGTTTGTTGAATAAAATGATGAGAGGATGAAGACATTGGAGTGCTCAGAGGGAGCCAAGCTAAGTGATTAGTCAGAAAGACTAAACAAATACAGCAAGGGAAGGAGTAAATGGGCAACTTAAGTGTAGGTGCCCATACTTAATTCCTGGTGTATCAGATACCAGGCTTATGGAATTTTACGTCCTCCCAGGGGGTAGACCTGAATTTTCCTAATGAAGTCAAATAGCCTTGCAGTCAGACAGACCTGAGCTTTAAATTCTAGAGGTATACTCCTGGCAAGTTACTGATAGGGCTGATATAAGAATTCAATGAGATAATTTATGCAAAGTGCATGGCACAGTTACCTAGTATTTTGATGTGGTTCTTGTGATATTGTCATTATGCCATTTTCAACATTATCCATCAAAATACTTCTGCTATCTAATAATAATAATAGTCAATATTTTTGAGCACCTTTCCTCAAATTTAACATTTTTCCAGATGACATAAGAGAATTACTTTATTTAGTCCTCATGGGATCCTATGAAGAGTTGTTTTTATCATTTTCACTTAATGAGGCAACCAAGGCATAGAGACGTTGATTAACTTGACCAAATTCACACTGCTGAGCAAGGTACAACATTTGACTACTTACCACACAACCCCTCATTTGTTCTTAATATTTTTATTTGAATTTATTTCGTCCCCATTAAAGGGTAAGATGTTTAAATTTAAGTATTTTTTGACTTGTCTATTGTATGTGCCACATTAATTACTGTGTGAATTTAAATGAACAAATATTTATTACTGACTATGACTTTCTTGAAGAGTCCTATACCTTATTGATATTTGGGGACTTTAACATTGGGGGAAGCAGAGTTTGCCACCCCAAAATATTTATCACTATAACTTCCTTGGTATATTATTTTAAGCTTACTGTGTTAAGAAACAAAAAACTCAGAGAGAACATTTGATCTTCCCCCTAACTGCCTAAAAGAATTTAGATAGAGGACCTGCTCTAGGAAGGGCACCATCATCATAGTTAACTGTAGTTTAATATGAATTATGTGTGATAGGGAGGAACCTCGCAAGGTCCATTTGAATGAAGTTGGCTCTATGTCCAACAGGTAAAGATGGCCCAGAAAACATTGATTTACCGAACATTTGCTTTCCCATCTTCATACAAATTGCCTTACTGACCTTTGAAGTCCCAAACTTCTCCTTAGATCCAAAATGGCATATAATCCTTAATTGTCCAATATGTTGTTGGGTCTCATATTTTATGGAACCCCCATATGTGATGTGTAATAAATGTGGTTATTTTATCAATCTGTCTCATATTAATATGATTATTATCCCAGCCAGAAGAACTTAAAAAAGTAGCAGAAAAAAATTTATGTTTCCACCCCACAACATTTTAGTGAGGGGATTAATTTAAAAAAAAAAAAGCTGAGACAAGGAAATATATTAGAAAGGAATAAAACAATCTTCTAGAGCAGCTTTCTGTTCCACTCTTGGTTGCAGATTATGCTGCAGTGGACAGTGATGCTTCCTAAGTATTTATTCTCTAATGGCAATACAGTCACCCTCAGAATTGTTCTGCTTCCATCAAGCAGATTCCAAATAGTCCAGGCTCCTAGACAACTTTTTAGAAAAGTTAAGGCACTTTTATACATACCACTTCTTAAATTTCTAAATAAAAAAACACACATTTGTTTGTTATAGGTCGTTAGGCAAAATGTCATTGTCTTTTAAGAGTATTGTCTGAGTAACTATCCTCAGAAACTTCAAAGGCAGTGTTTTTCAGGTTTAACTGGAAGTAAGTTTGGTTGCACTGACTTTTTAAAAGTTAAAAAAAAAGGATTTTCTCAATCAATTGGAATCAATTGCAATTTTTTTTTTAAGAAACACCTAGAAAGAAGATGTATCCAATGTACATTTTCTTCAATTCTGATAACATTATTGTGTGAGAGAGATTCAAAAATTGAGTTTGTTCTAGCTTTATACAAATGAATTACACATTTTAATTCAATAGAGCAAAAGTTATCTGAATATATTTAATATATTATTTTATATCTGCAAATTGCTTTATTCTTGTTTTTATCTCATCAGGTTAAATCAGAATGTCTCCTTTATGAATGGAGAGTTGATCTGCTATTTACTTCCAGTCACGTTTACCGGGCCACACAGAAGTGATCAGTCCAGGCATTCAGTCTGCAACAGTCCTGGCTTGCCTTGGGCCAGGACGTCCTCAAGGGTGTCAACCTTGCCGGCCTGGATGCCTCCAGTGCCTTCATGCAACTGCAACTGGTTTTACCAGATCCAGAATTCTGTTTGACCAAAATAAACAAAGAACTGAAAAACAGAATGAAGGGAATTTCAGAGTTACAGATCTTGAGATTGTACAGCCAGCTAGAGGTCATGGTTACAAAATCATACTTTATTCCACCAGTAAAGTTTGATATTTTTTCATGTTTTATTGTCCACCGGAAAGGTTTCTACTTCCCTCATGGCATTCCCAGAATTTCAGTTGTTCTGGGGCTGGACTGGGAAGAGTAGTTGGGAGACTGGGGATACGATGAGTGGGGTGGAGGGGGTGTGGGCCAACTCTTGGGCAGTCAGGGACCAGCCTACTAACTCCTCTTCCTGGCCTGAGGAAACCTTCTCTGCCTCGTGGCTTTGGCCTCCTGACCCAGACGGAATGGGGCACAAGGGAGCACAAAGCCTGCCAGGTCCGGGCTGCGGTCCAGGAGTTCCAGGAGTCCCCGTGCGGATATGATGAAGAGAAACAGAAGAGGAAGTGCTTTAGGAGTACAGAAGTGGTGGAAGGGGTAAAGAGAGGCAGAGGGGAAAAAGTCCCCCTTGTAAGAGAACTGGCTGGCCAGAGGTGGCCAGGAGAGGGGCGGAGCCCGGGAGCCGGAGGAGCGGCCATGGCCGGGTTGCAGCCACTTCGCTGAGCCGGAGGGAGGCGGGAGGGACAGGCAGGGCGGCCTCCACCATCTGGCCACCCGGGCAAGATGCAATCTTAGCTGGAGCCTCACTAACTTTCCGGGCGGAAGAGGAGGAGAAAGGGGTTTTGAGCGAGTTGGGGGTGGGAGGATGCTGAGGTACGTGGTGGTCTCCCGGGCCAGGAGGAGGAGGGCTTTTAGCCCCTTACCTGGAGCTTCTAAATCCAACCCCTTCTCCCTTGCAGTAGGCCCCCCCACCCCCACCCCCAACTTCCTG